AAAATGCTCGGTAAAAGCATTAATATCTGAGATCCAGCAAGGAGGTGGTTTTCCCCCACGCAGCCATGTCCACAAGCTGCGTGGGTTGGACAGGGTGGCCTTAATCCTCCTCCGCATATTTTCCATTTCGGTCTCCTGAATAGCTGCCTTCCTAGTAGCCTTCTTAAAGACACGGTGCTTGGCCTTCCAGGTAGCCCTATGAATGTCCGGCAGCTTGCCCGAGACGGGGTCCCTGATCTCCTTACGGAAACTCATCATATCATTCCGCACAGCGGCACAGTCCTCGTTCCACCAGTCACGCTTTACAAAATTCACCTTTCCCCATGCAACGCCGAACATCTCCCTAGCACACGTCCCGATTAGGGTGCGCAAGTCATTCATGCTTTCATCACAAGAGGCCCCTTCTCCTTGAGTTATCCTGTCCTCCCCACCTTTTACACACACACACAGACACACGCACGCACACACAAGCACCCTCTCTCTTCCCAACGCATCCACCCACCTTGTCCACAGCCACCCATCGCCCCTTCTCCCCCCCAAGCACACACACACACAGGTACATGAGCGTCTACTCATGTACCTGTAACACGGCTCGTTCCACAGGCTGCCGTACCCCGCCTCTCGCAGTATATGCAGCATAGCAGGGTGGCATATTCCGGGATGGCGGAGAATGAGGTGCTTGAGGCGTGTTGAAATGGAAGGTGGCCCCCCATCTTATGGACGGTGTAGGACGTGATAATATCAACTTGCGAGCTGACCAGGAACTAAGTTGAGGCGCCGTTGATCCGCTAGATTTGGTTGGATGCTGATGGTGAGTTGCTGAACCCAACGAGTACATTCTGAAGTCGGATGGGGTGAACGGATTAGGGTGCCCCTCTAGCAGGGGAGAGCAGGGAACTGCCTCGGGAAAGGCGGCCGCTGGTGAAGCTTAACCACCCTGTAACAACATACATACATACATTCATGCACACATAGATGCATACATGCATATAAACACAGCTAAATATACATGGCTCCAGACTCAGCAGGTAAGCTAAGACCCAGGAAAGGCATTGACTCCATACACCGATATGCACATATACACATGGGCGATGATGAGAAGGACGAGGGGGTCCCTAATGAGGGGATGAGGGGAGGGCGGGGAGCCGCACTCAGGCACCTATCCGTACCCGACCACCCGTACTGGGCCCCCTTTTCCTCATCAGGGGTGGCAAACTCCTCTCCTCCCTCTCGTTACCCCCCGCCATCATCGGCCTCCCGCCACACATCATCCGTCCGGTGGCAGACAGACACAAACCACACCTCGCTCGCCAAGACCCCGCCCTCGCTCATTCACACACACACACATACTCTTACACACACACACACACACACACACACACACACACACACACGAACCCCCCCGCGCAGCCACCCGGGCGACCCGGGTAGGACAGCCCACCCTAAGTCCCTGAAGCCCTCCCCCTAACCCCAATACTGCTACTGCTACTGCTACTTGCCACTGCTACTGCTGCTCCCCGGTTCTGGTAGCCGCTGCAGCACCAGCACCAGCAGCACCCCCACCGCCGCCCCCGCCAGGTGGGCCGCATGGGACACCGCCATACCGCCCATCATGAGCCCCCCCGCCACCTGGTGCCGCGCCTCATCAAGCACCTGCCGGGGGGGGGGAGGAGGAAGAGGCGGAAACACACAACCTGTCAGTCCGTCCGTCCGTCAGTTAGTCAGTCGGCTGCAAAGGAAAGCCGGAAGGGGCCTGGGGGGTTGGCGGTGGTGCAGGGCAGGGCAGGCTTGGGGATGGTGTGGTGGCAGAACGGGTTACACTCGCAAGGGGGGGGGCAAGCTGGGTGAGGTGAGGAGGTTGGACGGGTTCAGGGGTGGGTGGGGCCTGAATCGGGGCCGGGAACCGACGGGTGGCCGGTGGGGTGGCGTACGGACGTCAGGGGAGGCAACTGGGATTGGGCGGGATACGTTAGGAGGAGGGAGAGGGGGAGCCCCTACTAGGAGGGGGAGGTGGGGGCGGCGGTCTAGGGGGGATTTGATGGGCGTGAAGCTGAGGGCCCCGAAGAGGAGGAGGGGGGAAACACCAACAGCTCACTCCTGGAGGGACCCGGGGGGGAAAGACGAAAACCACGTGAACGAGTGAAGCTGCTGCCAGGGCAAGTGTGTACCAGACGTAGAACTGACCAAGAGGCGTTCTTGAAGCGGCGACCTCGGGATGATGTCGGAAAAACCGTACATATGTACATACATACCCAGCCCTATCACTCAGTCAGGCCCTCCCCCTCCCCTCCCTTCCCCCATCCCCCGTCCCACCTGTCGTACCACAAACTGTCCCAGCACTGCCGCCTCCAGCAGCTGCTTCAGATTCCACCTCAGCCGGGTGGCCACACTCACCGCAAACAGTCCGAAGATGGCGCCTGTTGGAGAAGGGGAGGAGGGAACAGGAGGGAACAAACGCAACCAGATTACCCCAGATGGACAGACAGACAGACAGACAGACAATCAGGGCCGCTCCCAAGCGGAAGCTGCTGCGGGATGGTCAAGAGTCCAAATCTCTATCCTGTCTTTGACTCCAACCCCCTCTCGCCGACCCACCGACCCACCGACCCACCCACCCGCCCACCGACCCACCGACCCACGGCAGCTTTTACGACTCACCCGACGCCCCCACTGACACCGTCACGTGGCCGTTACTGGCGGGGGTCGCCAGAAAGGTGGCCAGGGCAGCTCCTGGAGGGGGGAGGGGTGGAGGGGGTTAAACTCCAGGGGGAGTGCACCTAGGCGGAGTGTACGGCAGGTGATTCGTAACAGGCACTCCCAATTGGAGTGAGTATTAATTGAAGTCAGAGTACCCTCCCTTCCCCTCCCCCCCCAACACACCTGCCCACCCTGCACCCCACCCCCACTACCACCCACCCACTCCGCACAGCAGGAATGTGAGCACCACCCCCAGTGCTCCCTCCGTCTCCTCCACCATCTTGCCAAACACACACAGGTTGAAGAGGTTGCCGCTGAGGTGGGCCCAGTTGCCGTGACAGAACATGTGCGTCAAGAACTGCCACCACTGGGGCCTGAAGGGGCGTGTGAGGGGCGCGTGTGAGGGGCGCGTGAGGGGCATGTGAGGGGCGTGTGAGGGGCGTGTGAGG